TTTAGTGCTTGCGCACAACTTGTGCCCATTCATAGGTCAACCGTTCAGCACAAACTGAAGGCGAATCAACTCATCTGTCACGAGCCCACTTGCCATACCTCATGATTGCTGAATCTTTCAAAGGGGTGCAGGCCGCTTCCTGGCAAACACGTTCCTGCACACCCTGGTTACGTTGGCTTTCCGAACTGAGGGACCCAGCTTCATTCAACATCGTCCCAGCACGGCATCTTTGGCAGTTGGGAACTATTCTGCTTCGCTGGGCGCCACCAAGCTCCAAGGGCCCTGAGGCTTGGCCACGAATCCGTCTCAGTGGATCATGTGGCTCAGGCAAAGTGTGGCTTGGCTTAGGCCGTGGTTCATTGGGAGGCTCTACATTGTCCTCATGCAAAGCGTCATGCAACCTACTTTCAGGACTGACGATTGAACCTTCGCTGTCTTTAGGCCCGGGGCCCGAATAATATGCTGTGCAGTTCGATCTCGCTGTAGGCTTAGGTCAGGTGCCCACTGCATGCTCCAACTCAATGAGTGATGATTAGTGACTGGCTGAATGCGTATTATGCAACTGCACAATGGTGGATTCTTGCGCGCTGCACTACAATGAAACAATGGGGTATAACGTTCGCATCACGCAACGTGGTCGCCCACTTTCCAAAGTCCAGACCTTTTAAGTCGGCGACCGCGTTGCCATCGAGAAGAGAATGCCCCGGGTCTGACACGCGATTGAAATGGATGTGGGATATGGGCATCGGCTTCGAGGACCTGTGAAAGTTCGAGGTTCGAGACACGTGGAGAGAAAATCAGTCATTGCTTGTATGGAGAAGTTGTGTTACAACTCCTCCAACATTTCATCTCAACTTTGGAACATTGTCGCCTTATGGTACGCTCACACCTGTCAAAAAGAGTTATAGTACCGGCACTGCCTACGCGTAGAAATGGCCTAACTGACGCCTGTCCTTTGATGCATGTTTCTGCACTTGCCGGCTCAGCTTGCCAGGCCTGGTCTGAAAATATGAGCCTCATGATCAGGTTGATGACTGCATCGCCCATTGACCCAAAGTACTTATCTCCAATCTCACTGTCTCGGCCAAATGTCATAAATGCTACACTGAACACGTACGTGATGAGAAGGAGGAGGACCTTGGATCATGCCCAACTCGTCAAAACAGCGCTTGCAACTTGGAATTCTTTCCTCTCCCCCTAACTTCAGTTCAGCGTAGTAATCCGTATAGCAAGGGCACCACATTCTTTCTGCTGCCAAATCACCAATGTGAAAAAGACCGAGCGGCAAGCGACCATCATTCCCTTAATCAGGATCCTTAGTTGTCAGGCCTTCTGGTAACCATTGCAAAATGGAGGGCATGCTGATGTCAAATGGGCAACACATAGCCGGTTATACAGCCATGGACCGCGCCAAAAAGATCCAAAAAGCCACACTCTAGATTCCCTTCGCTGGGACCTGCCCCCACCCTGAGTGAGGGCAACTTTAGCTGGAAAAAGGTTTGCACCTTTTCGCTCTAATTCGGTTGGGCTAAGAAATTGTATTATATACTTCTGACATGTTCATCATGTTCTGCTCAATTATGCCAGCTCGGGATATGTTCAGTTCATTTCAAAGAGATCAACGTGGCGTTAACCATGACACGGAACGGTTGGGGGCCCAAACAAGCTCATCCGAGGCTCATGAGCTCCGGCATGAGGCGAACCAAACGTGCCATACGTGCTGTGCGCAGCACTCGCATGATGCGGAAGATGCGTAGAACGCTGGTGCCGCTCGCTAGGCCAGAGCCACCTCCGCTGGCGGCATAATAGATTGGCATTGCCCAAGTCTCAAAGATCATCAACGCCACGAGCATCAAGTCAAATAGAAACCTGCATGGAAAAACACTACCACGGAACTTGATGGCGAACAGTCTTGCATGCGGCATGCCACAGGCCAAATTCGACATGAAAGAAAATATCCAATAATAGTAATTATATAATATATACAACCAGTCTGTTGGAATCTAGTTCCCTTGGCCTTGAGGCTTGATATATACCTACAAATCTTATAACTTGTCGATGAACACCATAATAATGAACAACACTATCAAAAGCTGTCTTCAGGTGAGACACCAAAGATCTTTCATTGCCGTGCATGTGCGCTTGTAGCTGCCGAATCGTATAAGAAGCTCCGCGGTAAAATAACTGCAAAATAGATTCTCAACAACGATGAAAATGGCATCTGCTTCACTGAGCACCGGCGCGTTGTTGAACTCGATGTCAATAGAAATCCAAATGGCATTTAGAAAAATCACCACCATGGTGGTCGATCCAAACACATGATGCTTGGCGATTTTTGCTAGAATTCCATCGCTCTTCAGCACCTCGCTAGGCATCTCAAATTCCTCTGCAGCCTTTTTCCGGATTTGCTCCTTTGCGAGGTCAGCATTGAAATGTGACAACCTCGGCTAAAAATCTTTCAAAGAGGGCTCTAGCATGGTCCAATCGGATGCTGACATGGACGTTCAGATACGTTCAAAGGAATGGCCTATGCCTATATAACTATATCATGTAGTACAAATGTATATATATATATAGGAATGCAAAAGGAGACGAAGGCGGTTGCATGCCAAGACACATTCCTGCTTCCTGATAGTCTTCAGCTTCCTTCTTGGCTTTTGATTTCTCTTCTCGGGTCAAGTGAGCCACAATAGGGGCCGATGGTAGCTCTTCTTCAATAGTGTCAACATGCAAATCATGGCCGAAACCTGGCAAATTGCCAGAGCCAACGCCCTCAAAGCTTCCCCCTGTCTTGGGAATCCACGAGAGACGTCTCTTTCGACTCTTCTCCAACGATTGAAAGTGAGCGAAGGGAGCTTCGTCCCCTTTCTTGTCCACGCCTGCACAATGCTGCAGAATTCTCCCTTGGGATCATGAGAGGAGAAAAAAGGGTCTAGACGGTCTAGATAACAATCTAGGCCTAAAAAGCGACTAAAAACCCAGAAACACATAGAAACACAAAATAAACGATCTTGACACATTGAAGCTTGCGGAATCCAATAACACATATCGCAGCTCTGAGGTGCGCACACTGCACAAACATGTTTGTGATTGTGTGACTTTTGAGGCATTGCGAGATGTGAATGTTGGTAGGTATTGGCGTACCTTGTCAAACACTATGGAATGTCTTGAGCAGCGTTTCACAAAATAGCATGAACATAAGTATTTCAATCAAGGGTGACCAGTATCTAAGAATCTAGGCCTTTGACGTGTCTTTGGCTGCGTGGCACAGAGTTGGAAAAAGCTATGGATTAACGAAGGAGGAAACAACACATACAGTACATGTTTTATAATATGTATAGACATGTGACATATATGATCATATATGTATATCATACCTACATAAATGCACATAATTGCCCATATGTCAGCTTCAGCTGCACCCGCGTGCCAGTGGGGGCCGATGAAAAGCATTGCGAAAATGGATCGAGTCAATTTGAGTCCACGCAAGCTTGCAGCATGGGGATGTCAATTAGTTATTGTAATTGAGGGTGCAATTACAGTAATCTACTTTTCAAAAAAACATCATTTGGGAGTGCTTGAGTCCTGCGAAGTTCTGCAAAGACAGAATATATGGAGTAGTTGACAAACTCACTATGAATGTAGATGTAATCCTCTTTCTGCATGGAATGTTGAACACGCAAATGTAGGAAACCAATTGACAGGTCATGACAGGTCTGTTACATCGAGTTACATCTCGACAACTCCTCGTTTTGGGACATGTTCATCAAATGACAAAACGTCCAACAAAAGATCTCAGGTAACTTTAATGTCCGACCCTGGAAAATCCAGGGTAGAATGAATACATTGTAAATATATGTAAATATTAACAATATACACACCTTTCCGATGTCTGAATCTGTGCAACTCGCAGCAGCCAAAGCCACAGAAATGAACAGTTGTGGACTTCCAGCAGTTAGGCAAGTTGTGCAAGCAAAAATAGGTCTGTCTCCAGTTCGTGTTTGTTTTTGGAAGCGTGCTGACAAGGCTTCCGCTTCAGATGCTCTGCGGAAAGCAATGAATCCTTTGAAAAAGCCAGATGGAAGGAAGACGTCACCACATTTGCCCAGGGCCCAAACAGCTGACTTTCTAACAAACTCAGTGCCTGAGAAATCATCGCTGGTGCCCAGGGCTCCAGGCAGCTTGACTCGCACTTCCCTTCCTGCGCTGGACTTCGAAGTTGATTTCCCTGGGACGAGGAGAGACGTAGATGCCGTGGCAGCCACCATAGCCATGCTGTGTTTCACCTTCTCCAGCTCTTGATCAAGCATTGATAGGCTTGCCGCATGGTTTGCAACCAACGTATCTCTAAAAGAAGCAAGGCTGTCGAGAAGCCGCTGCTGATCATACTGAGTTTGAGAATTGGCTCGGCTCAGAAGCAAATGATCAGGCGTTGACAAAGGATCATTCGGATTTATGAGGATAGGCACGTCAGGGCTGACAGCGCATGCACTATCTCCTTCTTCTGATGAACTCGTTGTTCCACCTAGTGCAGAGTCAGAGTCTGAGTCAGAATCAGCACTCTGTGTGTGATGCGGGGGCTTCCTCCATACAGTGTCGTCGGCACACTCTTGGAGTAGTTCCTCTGTTTTGGTCTGGTTCCAGGCAGTTGCTGACTTGCTTTTCACAGGCAAAGGCATGGCGCCAAGCGGAGCCGGTCGATTCTCCAAATGCTTCTTTTTGTATCTGGTAGTGCGCTCTACAGTTTTGTGCTGTCCTGTGGAGGCTGATGATACCTCAAAACAAACGTAGAGTGGCTGCCCGGAGCAATTCCATGCAATTCCTGCCCACCCTGGAGCCGATGCGCCACACGGCGAAATTTGATCAGTCAAAGAAGTCTTACAGTAAATCATCAGCTAAGGCTTGTGGCAGCGCAATGGCTTGACAAATGTGCAACTAGCCATCGCCCATCGCTCAACAAACAACAAAGAAACGGTATGACCCAAGGCCAAGCCCGTCGCCATCTGCAGCTGCCTTGTTGACGGCTTTTGACCTTAAAAGGCGGTTCATGCCCGAGCCTTCCCTCTGGTCCACATTGACTACCATGTGAAACCCCTACCGCCTCCATGAGAAGAAAAAAACGCAACGCCAAGAAGCCCATTCTCCAAGAGAATCGTTACAACCTGTCACGTGGCAGGGAGACATCTTGGCTGGTGTGAATCTGCCCTCATCTGCCCGTCTGGTGCATCCAATCACAAATCAACCGAGGCTTGTGTGCTTTCACCGTAGTAATTACCATAGGACCATAAGAACCTTCACTTTTCTTGATTCATGGAACACGTTCCACCTCCTCGCCCCTTCTTTCCAAGACAGCTTATCTAGATAATTCTAGATATGATTAGCAGTAATGATCGACCTTTCTCTCATCCAGAAGCACAAGACACCTACCTGGAGCTACCTGTTTCATTTTAATGCCATTACTACATACAGTAATCTGATTGACATGTTGTACTTGCGAGCCATCAAGCGATTCCGTCTACACTCCCTGCATGGCAGTTCTCAACCTCATCAAGAACAACCAGTCCTGCAGCTCTTCTTTAGGATCGATGTGGCCCCCTCCCCTCTTGATTGGAGTGAGCGAAAAGCTTTCAAATGACCCCTCCAGCTCTGGCAAGGCCTCCGAGAAGCCCTCCTGAGACGCCAGAAGCAACGCCGTCTCTTGCGCCTGCCCGTGAGCAAATATAGCAGCCGCCCAGGCTGTCTTTTGGCACAATTACAGTGTATGTGGCTTCAAATTGGCTTTACATCTCAGGCATGTGGCCCTTGAAGGTTTAGAAGTGTGGACTAGGCTTAAAAGGGAACTGCCGAAGGAGGCTGAAACACCAGGACAGGAGCTCAACCCGCCTTGTTGGCCAGATCGACTGAAGCACTCCGGCTCACCAGGAGTCTGGGCACAGGAATGCCCCTATAGGGACTCTATATATAATTTATATAATTGCAAACTATATAAAATATATCAGCTTATAGTGACTAGGGCCCTTATAGTTATAGTCACTGATATATGTTTACATAATATTACAGGATTATATAATATCACATTTTTGTTTATTTTTTACAATATACTGTAGTTAAAACATTGACAAATCATCACGGGCTGTCTGGAACACTAAACATATTTGCATGCCCTCTCCAAAATTGAACTTCAACCTCCCATCTTCCTCATGAGGCCTCAAGGCTTCGGCAAAGCCAAACTGAGCAGCCATAATCAATGGTGTATTGCCTGACTTCAGGTCAAAATTGCTTTGAAGTTCTGATCTGCATGCTTTTGAGTGATTGCTACAGAGACAAACAGCCGTTAAACAGCCGTTGGCAAGCTTGCTTCCATCCAATTACCAGGATCGAAGACTTATGGGCCCATTTCACAGTATGCTGTTTGATCTCATTTGCAGCCACGGCTCACACACACACACACACTACTCTTGCAATTGTGCGCGGCATTCTGAAAAGGGCTGGAAGTGCTGTGAAATCCGAACTCTGAGGTAGTTGCCATCTCGATCTGCCATGTCAATGCTTTCCGCCTGCCCAGTTTGGGTTCGGGGGAGATACATACTAATTTATTGGGGCATGGGCCCAGTATACTTGTCTCCCTTCAGTATACGCATATCCGGCATTTGGGGTCCTCCTATCTGCCTGTTTCTCTAATAGTGCGATGCCAGAAATCGTGAGGACTTTTTCAGGCCGCAAGCGCAGGAGGGCCGCCTGGTTGCTGAGAAGCAATTTTGCCACCTCACGGATTTGAGCGCAAACAGGGAGACGTAAGAAATCAAACAAAAAGGACTGCAAGCACCAATCGTAGACCTTGCACTTTCCTGAGAATGACTTGGCCTCAACATGGCCTTGCTTCGCTGCACACAGCAACGGTGTCTCGCCAGCGCCGTTTGGAGCATCATTTCTTGCATTGCCTCACAAATGTCAGGGTTCGTTGAAGTCTATATCTCCATCTCTATTCGACATGGGAGACACCTTGTTCAGCGCAAATGTGATACCCGGTAAGCGTCAAAAGGGGTGCAAGAGGTCAACACAGGAGAAAGCGAACCAGCATCACCTTTGACTCATTGCAACCGAATGGCACATACACATGTCCAATTGTCTAGAAACATGCCACCGCAATTCAATTTGGACAAGATGTTCTCAGCCAGCATCGCTGAGCCCCCCGGGCTTTTGAGAAGAAGCCTCAACACCTTAGATAAAGCTCTCCAAAGACCATGAAAAAACCGCAGCATG